CATTAATGAAGTGACCGGGGGGTAGCTGGCAGATAAATCCAAACTTCTGTGAGAACACCAGTTATCCCTTAAGGTGCCCATACACCTTACGACCATCGCAAGACTTTTGTCTTGCGATGGTCGTATGCTCATTAAAAGCCCGTACGATCTGCCCACCTTGGACGGGCAGATCGTACTTGCGATCATCGGAAGCCCGCCCCGCTGAGGGGCGGGCTTCCAGACATCCCAACCTGCAAAACCTTATTTCAGGGAGGTTCCCGTCTCATTTCAGGGAGGTGCCCTTTCTGTTTTTTGGGTTCTTTTTTTAAAGCGGTCGTCGTCAGAATATAAAAGAAATAATATATATATATACATACATACATACATACATACAGCGTAAAATAAAATCCATATACCAATAATATTCTATATTTATTTATCTCGTACGAGAATCGAGCAGTGTATGGGCACCTTTAGACTCCACTCTCAAAAAAAAGAGCTGCAATTAAGAAAAGGGTCTACACCCTCGGACTGTTACAGTCACGTCGGATTGCGGTACTGCGCACAAAAACCTGTCCCCTGCCCCCCTCTCTGTGTGGAAGCAGTGGTCACTCTGCAGAGGTTTAACACATCCTGCTGAGTCAAAGCTAGAGTTCTCCAATCAGCAAGAAGCACACGATTTGCTGCATAGCTATAGGAATCAGCAGGTGGCTTACAGAGAGACCACTGCTTCCACAAAGAGAGCAGAAGGGTTAGAACCTTTCTCAAGTTGTTATTGCAGTGTGTGTCTCCATTGTGAAGTGTTTGCCTTACTTTCTATGTAGTGAGCAGCACAGGAAGTCAGTTGAAATATTCACAACAGGGGCACAGGCAGACAAAATTCATAAAAAACAAAATACAGGCAGTCCCTGAGATACATACATCCGACTTACATACAACCCCTTCTTACAAACAAAGGCTATTACTGTACAGCAGGGGTAGTTGTAATGCTACCATACTCGTGCAGATGAGAAGTGCCCTGGTTCGTAGTGCTGTATGTACATTACAGGAAGTTGGCTCTTGTTAGACGTGCAGACAAGGGGTGCCAAACTCTTCTTCTTGGTATGGGAAGGGAAATTCACTGTAAGAGTTATCACGGGGAAAAAGGTGTCTCCACTGAAGCTAAACCCAACATTTTCAAAATCCAATTGTCACACGGACAGAAAGTGAGTGGAAATCTTCTGAACAGGGGCTCACACAGCAAAACAAACTTTACAGGGGGTTAAACCTTCCCAATGCTATCCAAAACAAAAAACAACAAAAATTGTTTGGCTGGAGTTACACTTAAAAAATGTACCTGTTCCAACTTACATACAAATTCAACTTAAGAACAAACCTACAGTCGCTATCTTGTTCGTAACCCGGGGACTGCCTATATACGAAAAATGCCAAAAAAACAAGAATGCACAGCAACCGTGATAGTGGAGATTCAGAAGGGGCCGTTTATACCAGCGTTCCGCAACCTTTTTTCAGCCACCCTTTAAAAGTAAACTAAATTTTGAGGCACCCCAGTATAAAATGTAGAAACTGCAAATGTAAAAAATGACGTGGGGTCCCTCCAAAATCAATACCAGACCCTTGTCTCAGATAAGGGTCTCTTATGTATTTTAAGGGGGGACCCCATGCAAGAACACACTGAGAATGCCATCTTTCACATAAGAGTCCCCTGTTACATCAGGATCCCCTTTCTTTCACATCAGAGTCCACTGTTACATCAGGGTCCCCCTCCTTTCACATAAGAGTCCCCTGTTACATCAGGGTCCCCCCTCCTTTCACATCAGAGTCCCCTGTTACATCAAGAACCCCCTCCTTTCACATAAGAGTCCACTGTTACATCAGGGTCCCCCTCCTTTCACATAAGAGTCCCCTGTTACATCAGGATCCGCTTCCTTTCACATCAGAGTCCCCTGTTACATCAGGGTCCCCCTCCTTTCACATCAGAGTCCCCCCTCTCACACTAGGAAACCCTCTTCAAATCAAAAGCCCTCTTTTACATCAGAGTCCCCCTCTTTCACATCAGGGGCCTGTCGCTGTGTGAAAATTTCAGGGCACCCCTGAGGAAGCCAGAAGGCATACCTTGGCCAATCATCTATTGTTTAGGTAAACATGTTTCACCTTTGTAAATGATACAGTTTAATAACCATGCTCCTATTTGGTACATTTCAATCCTGCAATAATTAAACCACTTATGAATTTCTACAGAAAGATCCTCCTCCGTACGCACTGTTTTATAGTAGTAATGTGTCACTTAATGTTTATCATCTTGTGGCATTCATATGCATAATAAACATATCATTTCAAGTCATCTAAGGGAGGCTGGATTGTAAATCAGATCTTCTTTCAGTTGTTTTGTTTATACATGTTTCACTGTATGACTGGATCTTTTATATTTCTACATTCACTGCCTTAATCTGATGAATTAAAAAAAGCTCCAGTCTGATTGACCATTATTTGGGCTCTTGCACTCGGACACTGGCACCGTACACCATAAATGCCAATGTATTCCTGCCGGCAGAGAACTTTAGGTGCAGAGTAAAACCTCACCATAAAGTCAATGGCTGTGTGCTCTTGTTGGCGGGTATATGCCGACACTACATAAACCCGTGCATGTGCACTAAGGGAACATCTCGGATGGACCCGGAAATATGCCAATATTTACAGTGTTCAGGGGCTGGTGCCCATATGCAAGAGTCCTTAGGCCAGCCTTATACATTAGAACAGCCTTTCTCAACCAGAGTGCCTTCTGGCTTCCTCAGGGGTGCCTTGAAATTTTCACACAAAGTGATGCCTCTGATGTAAAGAAGGCTCCTGATGTGAAAGAGGGTGACTCTGACGTGAAGGGGGGCTTCTGATGTGAAAGAGGGGCTGTGATGTGAAGAGCGGTGTCCCCCCTCCCTAAAATCCATACCAGACCCGTATCTCGTATAAGGGTTTAGTATGAATTTTGGATTCACTACACGTAGTATTTACATTTGCGCTTTTTACATGTTAGACCGGGGTTCCTCAAGATTTTGCATACTTTTAAAGGGTGCCATGGCTGAGAACATGTTGAGAAATGCTGTATTAGAATTTGCCTGGGAACTATCTCTTCCACAGAATATCTTACTATTAAATCTGGTCATACAATGGTGGATTTTCATACGAACATTCAAAATCTCATCAGAACATTCCATAATGCCATCAAACTTATAGAATGTTGTTCGAAATTGTCTTACATTTCAACATTCGATTTTGGAAAGAATGGAGTTTCCTGAATATAAAACCACATTCACTGTTAGAATTTCATTTGTAGAAGAAAAAAATTTCCATCCTGCACCTTTGATTTTGTTCCTCACAACAGTTCATGACGATCGTTGAGATGGAAAACAGAAATGTGAAGATTGATCTTCTGATAGAAAATAGTGTCAAATTCCAACTCAAACACATTTTCCTAAAAGAATAGTTCACTTTCTGACCATATTTAATGTTATATGCTATAGTATAACATGAAAATGGCCACATTCCCCAACTCCCCAACCTCAAATCGCCACCCACCCCATTTACCTGAATCGTGGGGTGCTTCTCCCTGCAGGAGAGTTTTGAGTCTAGTTTTGAATTCAGCGCGCCTGTGCACATCCGGATCATCTATTCACTGGTCCATTCACATGATCTAGGAATGCAAAGACTAAAAGTCCTATTTCTCACCACAGCAGGGGGACCCAAAGTTTTCATTTAAAGCAGAACGCTGATACATTTTTATATGAACCCTTGCAGTGGGGAGGTTTTTTTCCCAGAGGTAGGCTTTAACACTAATATGAGATTTTGGGGATTGGGTTTACATATATTTTAGCTACAGGTTTCTTTCCTAAAATACCTGTACATCTAAAAAGAGCTTAGCAGGCCTTCAGTCATATCCATCCCCCTCCCCCTTCTAATGACCAGCACTTGACAAGCTGGCTGCAGGAGGCATAGAGGACCACCTAATCCCACTGAGATAAAAGAGATAAAAAGATGTGTAAATGGGACAACGCCTCATTGCTTTCCAGCAAGAGGAGGAGAAATCAGCAGCAGCAGTGACAGCAGGGCTGGGAGGGCTCTGGAGAGGCTGATCTACATCTGTACGTGGCCAGGATCTCTGCAGTCTCCAGGAAGGCATCATAAATAGGGGATCTATATGACAAATGGAGATGGGAAAAGCCAGCATTGCCTGATAATGAGTCACTGAGGATCAGATGCATGCAATAGGCTTACCTGCTGTGGAGATGCAATCATAGACAGCAATCAGGACAGGGGACCCATACTGATCAGTATAGGTGATGCATTGGGGGTAGGGGTATTAAACTGATCTTGCTGCCTGATGGCTAGTGTCAGGTCCAGACAGGCCAGTGTACTAGGCGATGAGACACAGCAACCTTAGGCGATGAGACACAGCAACCTTAGCGATCTGTGTGTGCTTCTGTCACATACTTACTGCAGGCAGGGATGATGTCAAAGCATTGCAGGGGCAGAGAGCTGCTGGGAAAATCAGCGAGTTGCTGAGCAGAATTAGAACCTGTGGAAGGAATATTTTGGTCCATGCAAGGCTGGGAGGTGATACTGCCATCCCAGGGAATTCCCCGGTTCTGCTCGATTTCATTCATTCTCTGTGCAACTGGTGTAGAGGGGGGGGGGAAGCAGCTGGCTTAGAGATTGGCAGCATCTAGGGGGTTTAAAGGCCTTGATGCCCCATGGCTCATCCCTGGCACATGGTATGAGACCTTACTGACAGCTGTGATGACACGAGGATGTGTGTAGGCTGGCACAGCGGCACATTGGCACACCTCCTGGTGGCTCCATTGACGTTGTAGGTCTGCTCGGCTGCTGTCACATGCAATCTGCATTAAACGTGGAATGATGAGCCGGGGCTTGATGCCCGATCGGGACCTCTGTGCCCTGTAGGAAGTGGCACGTTTTCTCTCTCCTCTGTGTTAAGTGAGTGCCCTGTTGCCGCTATGCTCCCCGGTGCTGCCCTGTAGCCTGGCACTAGTGACAGCAGCAGGCAGCATCCCTCGAGGGTGGCTCAGGGATGGGCTGTGCTCCCAGCATCCACGTCTCTCAGAGCGGGGTCATCTACTGCAGGGACTCAGACGAGTCCAACTCGCCACACCAGACCACCACCATCTCCCAGGGCACCGCTGCCACCCTGCACGGGCTCTTCATCAAGACCGACGCCGCCGACTCCATCCCTTCTGTGCTCGCCTATCAGAGCCGCTATCCGCCTGCTGCACGCTCCGGGTCCAGGAAAGAGCGCAGGGAGCCCGGACTGCACAGCTGTTTAGAGGCCGAGACCCAGACCAGTCACACCAGTGTCAAGGTAAGAGGATGCCCTCTGCGAACCTATGGGCAATGTCTGTGTTATATATGAGGGGTATGGACTGCAGGCTGGGATTATGATGCATGGTAACAGGTTGGATTGTATTATACAAGAGGTGTCCCATGGTGTCCAGGGCAGTCCCAGAGTTCATGTCCCTGAATGTCATGTCTGATCACCTGTATGATAAAACCCCTTCTTCTATGGACAATGTCTGTGTTATATATGGGGGTATGGACTCGAGGCTGGGATTATGATGCATGGCAACAGGTTGGATTGTATTACACTAGAGGTGTCCCATGGTGTCCAGGGCAGTTCCAGGGTTCATGTCCCTGAATGGCAGATCTGATCCTCTGTATGATAAAATCCCTTCTTCTATGGACAATTTCTATGTTATGTATGGCGGTGTGGACTGCAGTCTGGGTTTATGATGCATGGTAACAGGTTAGATTGTATTATACTAGAGGTGTCCCATGGTGTCCAGGCCAGTCCCAGGGTTCATGTCCCTGAATATCAGGTCTGATCACCTGTATGATAAAACCCCTTCCTCTATAGACAATGTCTATGTTATGTATGGGGGGTATGGACTGCAGTCTGGCCTTATCTGCAAGGAGCACCTGTTGGATTTTATTATTCCTGTAGTTGTCCCATCATTTCCAGGACAGTCCCAGGGTTCATGCCCCTTAATGTCAGGTCAGATCACCTGTATGATAAAATCCCTTCCTCTATAGACAATGTCCATGTTATGGACATTGGGTATATGGACTGCAGTCTGGCCTTATCTGCATGGAGCATATGTTTGATTGTATTATACTAGAGGTGTCACAAGGTGTCCAGGACATTTCCAGGGTTTATGTCCGTGAATGTCAGGCCTGATCACCTGTATCATAAGATCCCTACTTCTACCCATCTATGAGCATATCTTTGCCATTCATGAGGTGTATGGAGTCTGGTTTTCTAATCCATAGTGCACTTTTTTTAAATAATAGAACTGTGTTCAGGGACTGTTCCAGGGCAAAGCCTGTTGATGGCAGGTGTGATAACCTTTATCATAACATCCCTACCTCTTTGGGCAATGTATGTGTTATGTATGGTGTGTATAGATTGCAGTCTGGGTGTCTTCTGCAAGGTGTACATATAGGGATTGCATTGAGCTGTTCCATGATGTCAAGGAACACCCCCAGGGTTCATGTACCTGAATGCCAGGTCTAATAAACTGTATAATAAATCTCTTCCTCTGCTCACTTATGGGTAATGTCTGTGTTATGAATGGAGTGTATGGACTGTGGGCTAGTTTTCTTCTGGGTCCTGCACAGGTTGGGTTGAATTTTTTGTACTAGAGCTGTTCCATGATGTCCAGGGAAAGACCCAGGGTTCATGTCGCTGGATTCCATATCTAAGAAAACAATATCATAAAATTACGTTCTTTTCTGTTATTGTCTGCTTTAAATCTATATCTGGAGAGTTGAAAATAAATGATAAATTGATGTACTCTTATTTAAAGGGTACTTTCATATAACAGTATCCCTATGGGGGGCATGCTACCCAGAACACGGACACTGGGTAGAGTGCCAATGACCAGAAAAGGAGATTTTAGTTTGAATGGAGTGGAGGCTGTAGCAAGCCTGGAAATGTATTCACTGTCACTTTTGCAGAAATCCAGCCATGGTAATTCCCATATACTTAATGGGCTTATTCCCAGGGCCTGTCCAATCTAGTAGCCAGCAGGACTTTTTAGGAGCCAGCTCCATTGACATCAACTAGAGGAGCATTGGCTGCCTAGCTCCTGAGATTTGTCCAGCCTTGGCTTATTCTATAATATCTATGTTAGTGTAAAGGAAACTTTGTGGATCTCATTGTGTTGTGCTGCCACCACCTCCTGGTTTGCAAAGTATTATATTTTCGGTGGTAACATACAGTATATAGACGAAAGTTCTCATTGGTGACAGTTAATTAAAGGAACACTGGACGGATTCATGACGCTTCCGTGCCACTTAAGGAGTGCTAAACAATATGTAGGGTATGCTAAAATGACAAACAATATTACTGACTGAGAAACCACTTTAGCAGGTTTTGACACAACTCTTGCCAAGCTAAAGTTCTCAGTAAAAGTGCACCCTAAAAAAATAAAAATGAATACTTACCTCTAGTGCTGGCCGAACCTCAGATTTCTGCTGCCACTGTTCCGGGAGTGTCAACCCCCTGGTACTCC